TCAAATGGGATGTTAGTTACAAATTTTTCTCGCACCCGTGAATTATTTCGTGTAACCGAAATGCCACGTCCGCTGCAAGGGATTGAAGCTAACTCTTTCAGAGTTAATCTGCAAGAGAGGTGGTGCGATTGTGGTTTATTTCCAGCACTCAAATATCCATGCTCTCATGTCATTGCTGCTTGCTCACATTCGCATTTGGACTACAAAAATTATGTTGATCCCGTATACCAACTTTCACAAGTATTCAAGGTATATGAATTTGAGTTTCCGCCCATAGGAAACGAAAGGGACCCAAATGAGATTCAAACTTGGCTTACAATTGTACCAGATCCATTGCTATTGAGGGACTCAGGTCGTCCAAAATCTACTAGAATACATTGTGATATGGATATTCAGGAGAAGTCAACATAACAAAAACGATGTGGGCATTGTAGAAACATCGGGCACAATAGAAAAAAATGTCCAGCTCTGTTATCATCATATAACCGTTAACTCTTATGTAATTAATATTGTATTTAAATGAATGTTTTTGTTTCTAATAATTTAATGTTATTGCATTTATATAATTTGTCAATGTATGTACACCTAAATAATTTTTTTAACTTTTAAATACATAAATATATTTAATATATTTATTAATATAATAATTAATATTATTAGTTATATTTTTTTTTAAAATATAATAATAATTTCACCTTCTAAGTAGAGAAAAATATTAAATTAAACAAATTAAAAGTTATTAAAAAATTTATGTATACGATGACACATTTCATGTTCTGATTGGAGGATTAAATTTATTAAATTAAATTTTCAATAAGACTAATTTTATAAAATATGTAAGTCTTGAAGATTAAATATGTAATTATACTAATTTATTAACTTATGCATCTATATTTTCGTTAAATATTGATATGAGATGACTAGATTGATAACATTTAAATAATTAACTGATAAAATTAATAGATCGATAATCAAAATCAAAAATAATCGAAACTTGATAATTCTTACATTATAATCGAAACATTTTACATAATATATTATTAATTTATAATAATAATAAAAATAAACTATTTATTATAAAACAAAATACGTGTCTGCTGAGTTGGCAAAGGCGCGTCCCCGGGGACGCGCCTTCCACACGTGGCATCCAACTCAGCGAAAACACGGGTAAAGCGCGTCCCCGGGGACGCGCCTTTGCCAACTCAGCAGAAAGGGTGCTACTTCTGGAAATATTGGTCAAACGGTGTCAGAAAGGTAAAATTAAAAGCAAACGGTGTCAGTTATGTAATTTAGCCGTAGACGGATGCCCTCGGTAAGCCGATTTGATGGGTTAAATCATATTGAGTAAAATACACATTGGGTCCCCAGACTATATAGAATAATCTCTTGACTATTAAAAGTTATAAAATTATCTCTTAACTATAGATTTTGTTTGTTGAGTCTCTCGACTATTAAAAGTTACATAACGATCACCTGACTATTCATATATTCTAAATTTGTCATTTTTCGTTAAAAAATTGACGGTCATCTGAGTTAAATATTAATATGCTGGTTGAGATACAATAAAATATGATATTAAAATTGTTTGAATTTTATAATCATTTGAGATTATGAGATCATATGTTATAATACCTTGGCCAGTAGGTTAACGTCCAACTCAGGTTATCATCAATTTTTTAACAGAAAAAACAAGTTTGAAATATATGAATAGTTGAATAACTATTTTATAACTTTTTAACGGTTGATAGACTTAACAATATATCATCTTATAGTTAATGGATTATTTTATAAATTTTAATAATTAAGAGACTTAATAAAATAGCACATATAATCGTGATCATTTGTATACTTTACTCATTTACCCAATCATATTTTTACGCTTGAAGTTATACCGTATTTTAGTATTTAAAGATATTTTTATTAAATAAAATAAATTACAAATTTTTTGAGACTTTTTTACTTTTATCTTTTAATTTTTTTAAAACTAATATATAATATATACCACGTGACACATTCTTAAAATATCACATTAACTAAAATGGAATTAAAACAACATACATAATTCATTAAGAGTTCAAAATCAAACGAAAATAAATTTAAGTATCAAAATAATAAGATATAAATTAAAATTATTTTATATATTAATTTAATGATTAAATTTGTTGGCCGAATACTCTACTACCGAAAACATGAGCTTAAATCTTGACCCATGGCCTAAAGCCCAACAGTACACAACCCATCAGTTGGAGGGTCCATTTCTGATTGAAACTCATAAGGCCACACGTTTAAGATTTTTGAAAAATAATAAATATGTATTATTTTCTTTTAAATTTATATCCATCTTTATCACTTTAATTTGGATTTATGCCAAAATTAGGTGGAGTGAATTATATTCTCAAATCACAAATTGCAAAATTACTAATGACATTAGTAGCTCCTGCATCGTTTATTTAAAAAAAATAAAATAATTTATGAGACACTCTCAATAGTTAAAGGATATATTATTTTATTTTGAGATCTTAAATTTGAATAATTACGTTTACATCGTATATATAGGTAAAACTTTCGCGATAATATTCTGAAATAAATTAATTCACGAGCTAATGCACTCCCAAGATTAATTGCTCAAATAGGGTGAAATCCACAGTGTTGACCATAGGTCGCCATGCACTACGGGCGACCTTGTAGGTCGCTATGCACTCCGGGCGACCTACCCTTGCTCAAACAGAGAGAATGAACGTGTTGCATGGCACATGCACGTCCCAACACAACACATAGGTCGCCATGCCCTACGGGCGACCTTGTAGGTCGCCATGTCCTCCGGGCGACCTTGTAGGTCGCCATGCACTCCGGGCGACCTACCCTCGCACGGCTTCCCTCGGATTCCCTCGCATAGCTCGCTCGGTTGCCCTCGCATAGCTCGTTCGGATGGCCTCGGTCGGATGGTCTCGGAGTGCATGACGACCTACGGCCAACACTGTGGATTTCACCCTATTTGAGCAATTAATCTTAGGAGTGCATTAGCTCGTGAATTAATTTCTTTCAGAACATTATCTCGAAAGTTTTACCGTATATATACGTTATAAATAATTACAAAAGATTATGAATAGATAATATTTTTATAATCACTCAAAATATTAAAAAAATAAAACTAAAATGAAATACTATTAATATTAAGAATTGGAGTTTAAGTGTGCAAGGTGGGGGCAGTTTGTCTCACAGGCACAGCTAGCAGCGTGTGGGCTGACACTGTTTTTTCAAACACAATGTTCACCTAACGCGTGACCAAGGCTGTGTTTGGTGAGATGTACATCTGATGTGTACCATCTACATTCATTTAATCTTCACTTTAACTCAATTGATTGCACAAGATTTCTACAATTTATGTATTGCAAAGAGATTAATAATAGAATTTGATAAAACTCATACAATTTATATAAGAAGTCCAACACAAAAACTTTAATATTTATACGCTCATACAATAAGATAAAACTCAATTAGTATTATTCTTCTCGAAAATAAATTAAAAAACAATAATAATCAATAAGATGGTTTTGTCTATAATCATATGTGGATGGCCTTTGCAATTAAAACCTTAATCATTAATGCTTAAAATAATTTTGTGAAGCATTAATTTTGGATAATTTTTTTATAAAAGCTATCATAAATTTTTTGAATATGATTAAATAATCGCCATTAATTCATAATTAATAAATATTACAAAGTCGAAAGCTCTGCATTATATAAGAAAAATGTATAAATAAAAGAAAGTAACATAATAATAATTTTTTGAAAAGTATTTACAAAATTTTTAAAAATCTTGAAAGGTTTTATTTAATATTTTTTTCCAGAAAAAAATTGTGTGCCTAAGTAAAATTTCTGAGATTTAATAAGAATTTTAAAAATTTTAGAAAGAAACTCAATTGAAAATATTCAAAAATTTTGAAACATAATAAGAAATTCTAATTCTTTTGAAGGACTAAATGTTTGATTTTCTAAACCCTTCTTCTTATGGCTTAATTGTTAAGAAAGCTTCCCTTAATTATTTTGTTTTTTAGCTTATATTTCAACTAGAAGCTAAATTTTAGAAAAATGAGATTAATTTTTAATTAAATAGTTATTTTCATAAAATTTAAAAAATTAAAAATATTTGAGTATGTATTAATCTTTAAGAGTTATATTTAAGTGCACGAATCAAAATGTTATAATAATTAAGGAATTATTGTTATTTTTTGAGATTTATGGAACAAACATCACATATGCAGGAGTATAAACGTTCATATGTCAAATGATTTAGAGTTTTTTAACAAATATAATTATCAGTGATGGATCCATTGACGACTGAGGTGGACACTGAGATCCGAATTTTCTTCAATTAATTGCTTATTTTATTGATAGTGTCCAGCCTGAAATTTTATTTGTTTATATCCAGAGATCCTAGTTTTCTTTAGTTAATTACCTATTTAAATGATAGTGCACATCCTAAAATTTTATTTGTACTAACTCATTCAAAAAATTTATGTTGTTAATATATATATATTCACCGTAAAAGATATTTCTAAATCTGTCATTAACTACTGTTTTATATTTATCTTAAACTAATAAAAAATATATCTAATTTATCAAATTATTATTAGTTGTTATGATATTATTAACAAATGTAAAATTTTAAGAACATTTTATAATAGTTATTTAATCATAATTTAATGACTTCGGAGTTCGGATGTACTTTCATCATTAAAAATAATACAAAAAATCAGGCTTCACAGAGATCCAAAACAGAAGAAAAACACCGAGAGGCAAAGCCTAGAAAGTCTACATTTCCACAACATCCAAAGACAAAAACTACATCTTTCCCTGTTCTTAAAGTCTGAGTCTTGGTTCATATATCTCTAAATTCTCATGCCTACATGATAAGTTTATTATATTAACACTAAGTTCTGGAAAAATCATTGTGTGAAGAAGGATTTGCTGTATATGCTTCTCTTGCTTCCATTCCTGAAACCGTTGCTGTTTCCGCCGTGTAAGGCCCTGTTTCATCCTCCATTTCTACTCCAATCTCTCCAGGTACTTGTTATTTGCATCATTCTGCTCCTGAAGCTGCCCATTGCCTTTTCTTCTTCTTTCCACTGTGTTTGCTAATGGAGATAACTGTTTGTTTGTTTGTTTCTGGTTCTTAGTTCATCATCTGTTTGTTTGTTTGTTTGTTTCTTTTGAAAATTTTCAAATTTCATAAAACGACCACAAAGGTCGGTGCATTTAATACTTTGAACGGGAACTCTTTGCTTCCCAGTTAACACGCAATCTTTATGACTGTTGTTTTTAAAATTTTATTTTACTGATGAAGACATTTCCCTGTTCTATCTCTTGAGATTTCTTGTTTGTTATGCTAAAAAACAGCAGGGATTCGACTTGGAAGTGAGGAGCACTGGAAAATGGATCCGCCTAAGAAACTGTTAATAGCTCTCATTATTGCTTGCTCTTCCTTGGGTGCAATTTTCTCTTCCTTGTTTTGTGTATGGTTTTTTTACAGGAAGAATTCGAGCAAATCCTCTAAATGTGGTGCTAAGAGATCAGGTAATCTTCATTTGAGCGAAAACCCACATCTGTTTTACCTTTTAGTTGTGGAATTTTGAGAGTTGCTCTTTTTTTTTTATGAAGACGGTGAAAAAGGGAATGGGTTGGCACCATTTCTGGGTAAATTCAAGTCTATGAGGACGGTTTCGAAGGAGGGTTATGGTTCATTTATGGATTATAAGATACTTGAAAAAGCTACAAATAAGTTTCATCCTGGTAATATTCTGGGTGAAGGTGGATTTGGATGTGTTTACAAGGCTCAATTCAATGATGGTTCTTATGCTGCTGTTAAGAAACTTGACTGTACAAGCCAAGATGCAGAAAAGGAATATGAGGTACTATTTCTGCAGAAAAACTTCCTTTTTTTATGTGTTTTACTGTTGAATTCTTGTTTTGGAATTGCAGAATGAGGTCGAATTGCTTTGTCGATTTAAGCATCCGAACATAATTTCGCTGTTGGGTTTTAGCAGTGACACTGACACAAGATTTATTGTGTATGAGTTGATGCAAAATGGTTCTTTGGAAACTCAACTTCATGGTAAGAACTTGAAGAAATGAATGATAACTTCTCTGGTAATGTATGGATCTCATTTCTGAAATTCTACATCTTTAGGCCCTTCTCATGGCTCGTCGTTAACTTGGCATCGTCGGATGAAAATCGCTTTGGATACAGCAAGGTAAGGTTCTGTATAACTTTGCTTATTGCCCTTAGTTAATGAATGTTATTAAACTAAGTCCCAACTGTTGACCAGAGGATTAGAATATCTACATGAGAATTGCCATCCACCAGTCATCCATAGAGATCTGAAATCATCTAATATACTTTTGGATTTGGACTTCAATGCAAAGGTAATAATTGTAATGTAAATTGTTAGACCACCTTCTGTCTTTGAACTATTGTTTATTGACATTATGAATGTCTTCCATGAAATCCTTTGAAGCTCACTTTCTGGATACAGCTTTCAGATTTTGGTCTTGCAGTGACTGATGCAGCTCAAAACAAGAATAATTTGAAGCTTTCGGGTACTTTAGGTTATGTGGCTCCAGAATACCTTTTAGATGGTATGTACAATCGATTTCGATAGTTTTTTTGTTTGCGTTATTCGATATAATTGTTTTCATGTTTTGATCTTGGTAATATTATATGCTGAAATGAAGTAACTCTTTCTGCACATGTGCTGCCACCCCTAGGCATATTTAGTTGGCTTCACATGAGTGTAAAGCATTTTTAGTTGTTATAATTTTGATAAGATGAGGGTCGGAGTATGAATATATGCGATGTCTGCAATTGTCGGGAAACTGGGGTCTCGGAGTGGCATGTTAGAAACACTGATAAGAAGGCTAAATCTATTATTATCTGCTTTTTTCTAGGTAAATTAACAGATAAGAGTGATGTTTATGCATTTGGTGTTGTGCTGCTGGAGCTTCTACTGGGAAGAAAGCCTGTAGAAAAACTAGCACCATCTCAATGCCAATCGATTGTCACATGGGTAGGCCTTGATCTAATGCTACTTCTTCAAGTGAAGAAAACAAAGCAAATAATGATTGAAAAATCTAATGCCATTGCTATTTATGAATGCAGGCCATGCCTCAGCTTACTGACAGATCTAAACTCCCGAACATCATCGATCCGGTGATAAGAGATACCATGGATCTGAAGCACTTATATCAGGTTGGTAATAGTTTACTGATGAAACTAAACCACTTGGACTGACATTGCTCACTTGGTTGACAATTTGATCCAATTCTAAATCTAAATAGCTAAGTGAAATTATAATTTTCCAGGTTGCCGCTGTAGCAGTGCTATGTGTGCAACCGGAACCGAGTTATCGTCCATTGATAACCGATGTTCTGCACTCACTTATACCTCTTGTTCCCATGGAGCTTGGAGGGACTCTAAGAGTTACAATACCTACAGCCCTTGACCCTACGAACCGACACGTTCGCGGTACGCCCTGACATGACACGAAAACAAACTGCCACACGATCGTTGATGTTGCAACGATTAAATCATACATCCACATTAGTTCCATTGCATAACTATATGCACAGATTTGGGTGATAGTTCATACCTTTTGAGGATTGTTCATGTCTTTTGTAAATAGCCCTTTTGGGAACAATGAGTTGTAAGATGATATATGCCATGTGCCGTGCTGCTCTTATATTAGTTTGCTGTCAGAAGAATTGGCATTTATGGAAAATATTGAGGATCTCGTGGGAAGTGTTACCATATTATGACAATAAAATAATAGGGTTTAATACCCCAACTAGTATTTTATTCGGTTTTGGTGACCCGATTATTTATTTTTTAAAATCATATTTGATGTTTAGTTTTGATTTGTCTATTGTTAAAAAATTAAGGGCGATGTTGTTAGTTTAATGTTGAGGATATGTATTTTGATCGAGTTTTTTTAATAAACTTTTTAATATTTTCCTTGTATGATTCTTTGACACCGTAAAATCAAATCAAATTAAAATTTCATATACATCTGTAACTGTGATCTTGGTTATACAAAATGAAAAAAAAGTAATAATATTCAGATTCAACGTTTTGTTAAAGCGCGTATTAGTGAGTAAAAGTCTATGGAGTCGTGCAACGAACTGAGTCGACATCTCTGTGAATACAATTTTACTTTGACAAGCCGTCTTCCACAGTTCAAACTTCACGAATCATATTGTTACGTTATCTTGTTTGATTTATTTGATAAGGGATAAAATTGTAGTACATTTGAATGAATAGATGTAAGAGTGCTTAAAAATAAATTTTATTAAATTATTATTATGATAAAAATATTGATATAAAAGTTCATAAATAGAGAAAATATTTAAAATTATAATAAAGTTTGTAAATTAACACATAATTAGAATATTTTTTATAACCTTGATATAATAAACTAGTCACTCCAGATCATACAAGAAAAAGATTAAAACTAATCTAAAAAACTCAAACAAATACGAATGCATCGGCAAACAAACTACAACATGAGATTAAATTACTGAAAGATCATCGACAACTGCAAATCGTGTATCTAAGTCCAATCTGATGGTTTAAAAGAGGAAAGATTAATAAGATAACAAATAAGCGTCATCTTGATCGGTCGAAGCAATATCAAATTCAACGTTAAAAAATTTGAAAAAAATTAACGAAAAACTATCAAATGTCCGAAAAGATACTATGAAGACAAAGGAATACATGCCATATAAACATATTAATAAAAACTAAAAAGAAGTAAATATCTAACATAAGAACGTAAATATAATTAATATATATTCAATATTATTATATATAAATAGTAATTTGATTTGGTCAAACATAGAAAATTATTAATATGTTTAGTCAACATTATTTTGAATTACTTTCTATTTTATCTTTTTGAATAATAAATTGAAATTTCTCAAAAAGCATGCGAAAAAAATGGAAAATTAATATTTCAGTCCCCCAACACAACCCCTTGAATACGGTCTCCTTTAAACCCCCCAATGTTATATAGATTTGAACCTCATCTCTCTTAAATCCCAAAATCGGCTAATAATGTCCCTCCAACGCCAGCACCATTCTTCCTCCTTCCCTTCTTGCTTCCGCCCCGCCTCCGCCGCCGCCGATACCTTCAAAGCGTCTCCACTGCCTCCGCAAACCGCTGGTGAAACCAACCTTACAACAAGTTTCTACCACACAAATCTTGGGCTTTTCTCCCTCACCTGGTCCCGTACCTTCCTTGGCTGCTCTATCATCGTCAACCTCTACCCTTCCTCTCATTTCTCTCACTCTTCGCCTCTCTCTCCCCCTTCATTACCTTCCTCCTCCACCCTCCGTTTTCATATTCTTATCAAACCCTTCGTTTTTTGGAAGAAATATGGGAACAAAAAGCTCAGCCCCGCCACCACCGCTAAACTCCATGTCTTCTGGGACTTTTCCAGGGCCAAATTTGGACCCGGTCCAGAACCCGAATCTGGATTCTACATCGCCGTCGTTGTTGATCGGGATATGATACTTCTCGTCGGTGATTCTACCGAAGAAGCTTACGCCAGAACCAGAGCTCGAATTCAAACCCCCGGGAAAGCCCAAGCTCTTGTTTCGAGAAGGGAACACCTGTTTAGCAACAAATTGTACACTACAAAAGCCAGTTTTGCCGGCAAAAGGAGAGAAATTTCGATCGAATGTAGGGTAAACGATGATGCAGAGCTTTGTTTCTTTGTCGACAAGGAAAGGGTATTGCAAATAAAGCTGCTGAAATGGAAATTTAGAGGCAACGAGAAGATTCAAGTCGATGGAGTCTCGATTCAAATCTCGTGGGACGTGTATAGCTGGTTGTTTGATCGGGATTTGAACAATGGGCATGCGTTTTTCGTGTTTAAATTTGAGGATGAAGATGAAGGCTCTGAAGTTCTCGAACAAGTAGTGCCAGTAGCAGTGGGTGCTCTCAACGAGAAGAACGATGTCGTTCAGTGTCGGCCGAATTCACCTGGCGGCGGTGGCAAGAAGAGGAGAAGCTTGCTGACGACGGCTAGAAGCTCGTCGTCTTCTTCGATTTCGACGTCTTCGGCTTCATCGGGAGGATGCTCGTCGGTAATGGAGTGGGAAAGCATTGAGGAAAGTGAGTTAAATGCTCCTACTGGCTTCTCTTTGCTTGTCTATGCCTGGAAAAAGTGAAGATTCTTTCTTTCTTTTCTTCATTCATTTATGGTTTCACTAACCCATTTGTTGGAGAGCATAGTACAGATAAGAAACTTTTTACGTTAGGTTTGAAGAAAATTATAGACAGAGATTCATTCATGTCTCTCCATTTGGTAATGTTGTTTGGTTCTAATCGAAGATACTGTACCAAATTTAAGCAGAATGATCAAATCTCCGATTTTTATATACTAAAAGGAGGACTCGACCCATATTTGACCAACACTTTAGCTTCTTTTTATATGAAAACTCACTCCTAATATTTCACTGAATAATTCTTTTAGTTTATATTTTTTTATTGGTAAAACTTTCGAGATAATGTTCTGAAATAAATTAATTCACGAGTTAATGCATTCCCAAAATTAATTGCTCAATTAGGGTGAAATCTACAGTGTTGGCCGTAGGTCGCTATGCCTTCCGGGCGACCTACTAGGTCGTCATGTCTTCCCGGCGACTTACAAGAGATTGCATGTTCCATGCACGTCCCAACACGCTGGGCATCCGAGACCATTCGACCGAGGCCATCTGAGAGCATCCGAGGCCATCCGAGAGCATCCGAGGCCATCCGAGCGAGCTATGCGAGGGAATCCGAGGGCAACCGAGCGGTCGCCATGCACTCCGGGCGACCTACCCTCGCTCGGTTGCCCTCAGATTCCCTCGCATAGCTCGCTCGGTTGCCCTCGCATAGCTCGGTCGGATGGCCTCGATGCTCTCGGATGCTTTCGGATGGCCTCGGATGCCCAGCGTGTTGGGACGTGCATGACACATGCAATCTCTTGTAGCTCGCCGGGAAGACATGACGACCTACGGCCAACACTGTGGATTTTACCTTATTTGAGCAATTAATCTTGGGAGTGTTTTATCTCGTGAATTAATTTTTTCCAAACATTATCTCGAAAGTTTTGCTTTTTTTTCTATTGTTTTTGTTTCTTTATCAAAATGTCTTGTAATTGGATTAAAAATTATTAGTTGACTATCTGTTAACACTTGTGTTGATGCGATAAATATTGAGTCAAATGTGATGAAATTATATGTATCAATGTATATATAAAATGATGACATAACGTATATTACATATCTAAGGTGATAATGTAGTAATATCTTATATATAAAGTGATGACGTGATATATATATCATATATCTAAAGTAATGATGTGACATATGTTATATGTCTAACTAACATGAAACATAATATATATCACATATAAAAAATGATAATATGATATATGTCCCATACGTTATTTAAACACAGAAGACTTGTCGCATGAAAGATAAATATTGATTATTAGTCAATTAATAATTTTCATCCGATCTGAAATCATATTAACATAAAATAAAATATTAGTATTAAAATATTTAAAAATAAAATAACTATTAAATTAAATGTTAGAGTAGAATTTTAACATTTTATTTTTTGAACTCATTAAACGATCTGAGTAGTAGAAAGATATATTGTTATTTTTAGAGGGTTCGGATTCGTGCAGAATATGTATACATTATCAATGATTAATTAAAAATTTAAACAGATTATTATCTTTTAATTATCCAAACTGCTAAGAAAAAAACAGTTTAACTTTTCAGATTTTTAAAGCGGAATGACTATTTAATAATAAACACTTAAACATCTTTGTAGATCGATATTAAACTTTAAGAATAACAGTTATTTTTTGATCACTTAACATGGTTGGTTCGAGAGTGGGACAAGTTTGTTGTTTGCGTGGTGGATCTCAAAGTGACTTGATGGGTCAGTAACCTTAAAAAAGGGGAAACTGGATGGATAAGGATCCAAGGAATAAGGTGGTGAGAAACGGCCAAATGTTGTCGGTGCTTGATTCCATTTCTGACCGTAGAACATTGCTTGGGTTTTTGTTCAACAAAGATTGCATTTGTACAAAACAAGGCATCAATTTCTCCACATTTTCAGCTTCATTTGTAAATGCTGAAATGGGTTTCAAACTTCGTGTCTTTTTTACTTTTAAAAGAATAAAATATTAGGTAAATCACATTTTGATTGTTATGAGCGTTTAAATGTTTTTTATTAAATAATTGGGGTAAAAACTCTCATATGTATAATAATGAGATGATGATGCAACTAATTACCTAAATCATGTGGGATCGAGTCCACGGAGGGTATTTCATAATTCATAGATCTTCTACGGAAGCTGCTTTCAATTTGGTGTTAGAGACAGTCTATTATCTTACCTCCCTTACTCCATTACATATGGGAACAAGGGACAGCCATGTAGGTTTCCTAATTGTCTTAAAACGGATTAGTACTGCCAAATCTAACTGGATGATTTAAAGAGCAATGCTTTTCAATCATTCAACACGATAACCCCGACTGCTGCTTCGGCTTTCTCAGTGCTTCCCTTTTCAGTTCCAGTATCCATGCTGTCGCTTCCATTCTCCGCTTCTTCCATAATCACATTGTGTAAGTCCTCCATTCCAACTTCTGTCCCTGTGGGAGGCTGTTGGTTAGGTGAAAGAATCCGAGATATGCCCCCACAAGTTTCTTCCAAAGAAACGAGGTTCTTCTTGAAATCAAGGCTTGCTTGATTCTCATCAGGATTGTCCTCCAAGATCTTGCATATCTGCGACGAATAGGGAAAATAAAATCAAGTAGGCTATTAATCAAAAACATGATCCTCCGACCTCACTTCCATTTCGATTTCTAAGACGCTGAACAAATTGCAACAATATCCTATCCACTTGATCTACCAAATTCAAGCCCCTTCAAACGCAATCACGTACCTCATTGAAATGTTGAGGCAATGCTAGTCGGTCTGCATCATCATCGCAAGCAGCTGCAGAAATTTCTGCTGATGCTGCCAAAGACAAGGATAATTCTCATCGTCACCAAAGCAGACTTGGGGATAGTAAATAGATAAGGAAGAAACTCTTAAACCAACACAGAAAGCACATAAAGGTGTCAGGAGGGCGACAGGCTGTCTAACATCTAATCGTTCTTATTCAGACACCATGACAAATGTGATTAAAAGGATGAAATTGTCACCGTGACGACTTTAGTGTGTCTTGTATACGACAATGGTACTTACATATGAGAATGATATCTGATATATTGTACGTAGGTAATAATTTTTCTCAACTGGTTTTATGCTTGAAGAAATTACAGCTTACCAATTACTTCTATTGGAGGTATCTGGTCAACCACTCTGGAAGGTATCTCTCTTGAGCTTGCACTTGGAATGTCAGCAGCCCTTTGTCCACCCTCTGGCTCTTCACTTGTCCCCTCATTTGTGTTTGGTTCACCCTAGGAACAGAATTATGGACGCGAGCAAGCAGTAAGTCAGCAAGTATCTTAAAGTTTATAACCGATTTAATATGAAACCTGGAGTCATGGTACAAGAAACTAGAAGATTGTCTGCACGGCCAACGATTGGACAAGACCAAATGGATTATCTACAAAAACTTCTAGTAATTGAACACCTTAGTTAGAAGTAATGGATTATCTTAAAGTTTAAAGCTCATAGTAATTGGTCGGGCCAGAACTTCTAGTTCTAACCAGTATTAATATCTCAGCCAGACGATGGCCATTTATAATTAATAGAACACTACCTTAGTCAACATAACAATTCCAGTGAGAAGTAATTGAACTTGCGTAGTATTCTTTCTGAGTTTCAGCATTGAGCCCTTTTTCCAAAAGAAGCACCCTTTTCTTGACATATTCAACCTGCTTTTTCTGCACATCTCTAAAATGATACAAAATGGAAGAATCCGGGTACGATTGTGTTTGGTTAACAGCATCAGTAACTCCCTGGCTTATCCCACCTCCTACTCCATTCCCAGAGTCATTTACTCGAGTCTGGTTTCCACTAGATTCCGCATTACTTGCATTAACTCGATAATGCACTTGAGAACCAGCTTGCCCTGGAGCAGGAAGATATATAACGGGAAGACTCAACTGATAGGAAAAACTAAAATTCCTAAACCATATTTTATACGAACTCCAACGACATGCACACAGATCATTTAAACCCCATTAGAAAATGAACAGAAAATGTCAACACTAGGAAAATACTAGCTAATTCTAGCCAGCAAATAACAAATAAGAACAAAAAGCCACTGTGCATACTCTTTTATTTCGTCATAAGACTTCTGCTTTAAACGAGATGCAAACTCCTTCCAGTCAAAGTCCCCGACCCCAAACCTGATGCAATAAAAATTATTACAATCAAAATAACATGACACTTGGAATATTAGAGGAAAGTAATACACTCACCCACAAATAATAATAACAGAAAGAAAGGGAGAGAATGATGAAATTAAGTCCATTAAATAGCACAAAAAAATAATAACAGAATGACAGACCTCATCAATATCTGTACAAATGAAGCCCTCGGACTCTGATTGAAACCAAGCACCCTAAATGACTTTCCCTCGCCTTCCATTAGAGGAATTGGCTCCGTACTATCCGCTGCAATGATTAGAAATTGGAGAAATTATGGCTACCATATGAATAAATTATTGCCATCAAAGCGTTAACACCCTTTGAGGACAGACAAAACATACCACGATTTCTCTTCCTGTAAGGCCTTCTACCAGATTGAGTTCCAGATGAAGTTGTATCACCATCAGTCAGTTCAGCTTCAAAGTTATCATCCTCGCCATCAGAGCTTACATCTTCCAAACCAGCAAGGTCATCATCTTCAACGGATACCATCTATAGAAATTTAGAGGGCAGAAGCCTTAGCAAAAAGAATAGAAAATATATCTTCTGAAGATTAACACTAGGAAATGAATAAGTACCACAACCACATTAGTAACCAAAAGATCAATAAGCAGAGCGGAGCTGAATCAACTCCTGAGACACCACAAATAAATCAATATCTGACTGAATCAAATTTTGAGTTATGCCAGTATAGCATAACACATACCTGCTTACGGCTTCTCTTGCCTTTTCCTAGAGAATTGAACTCCTCAACTTTTTGAACTTCGTATCTGTCTCGTAACAACTCTTCCCAGTAACTGGTTCTTTCAGAATTGTTCAGAGTATTTTTATTCC